CCCAGCACGTGCTGTTTGTGGGGTTTTCATGGCGGCCGTTCTGACAGGCGTGAGGTGGCGTTTTATTGTGGTTTTACACACCAACGACGAGTGGGCATTTACGCCGTGGAATACTACGCAGCTGTGAAAAAGGAGCTCTTAGCCTCTGCGAGAGCAGGGAGGGACCCCGAGAGGATGCTGCCGGGGGAAGGAAGCCCGGCAGCGAGAGACGAGCACCCCGTGATCTCAGTCATATGTGGAATCCAACGGGCGCAATAAACTGATGAACAAAATAGAACCAGAGGCCTGGAAACGTGGAGCAGGCCGACGGTCTCGAAGGGGACGGGGACTGGGTGAGAGAAAGTGGAGAGGGAACAACCCTTATGCTCGCGGCCGCGGACGCAGGCAGCCCCGTGGTGAGGGCAGAGGGAGGGCGGGGCTGCCTGGCCGGGCTCAAGGGGGGCAGGGGGCTTCTGTAATGGTGTCAGCAATGAGAATAAAGTAACTATAGATATATTTAAAATAGATGTTTAAAAAGCACAGAGAGTGATGAGAGGTTCCAAGGACAGAGAGACCTAATGACCCTGACCCTGAACAGCGAGAGGGGCAGAAAATGAGAGAGAGAAAGAGAGAGAGACACACAGACAGACAGAGAGGCGGAGCAAAGCGGGGAGAGGAGGCGGGGACCGTGCCGGCAGAGGGAGCCCGAGGAGAGGCTGTCAGGCCAGGGAGGGACGGCAGCCTGGCCGCTCCCGGAGCAGCCGAGCTCTGTCCCTGGAGCTCCCCTTCCTTGCAGCCCCCTCGTGGGGCAGCGACCGGGTGCCCTGCAGCCCAGACCCCAAGCAGCTGCCCCTCCCCTGCCCGCCAGCCCTGCGAGGAAAGTTCCTGGGAGCCGACTGCAGGTCCTTTGGAGGAAGGGGTGCCTTGGCGTCATTAGAAAAGCTGAGGGAGTGGGGAATTCCTAGAGATAACTGCTGCAAACTCAGGGCCGAAGTACCACGAGCCCGGGCCTTCCCTCTGGGAGTGGCGCAGGGGGTTCGCTGCCCGCCGGGGCGGGTGGGGTCAGGGAGGAGCCCCTGCGTTGGCGGCACACAGGCTCGGCTTCTTTTAAAAAATTAATCTTTATTGTTGAAAGCATTACAGATGCCCCCTTCTTCCCACCCATTGATCCCCTCCACCCCACATCCACCCTACCCCCAGGCCTTCCCTGTATTTTTGTCTGTGTCCATGGGTTATGTATTTATGCATATAAGTTCTTTGATTAATCTCTCCCCACCCATCCACCCCACCTTCCCTCTGAGATTCGTTAGTCTGTTCCATGCTTCTGTATCTGTGGCTCTGTTCTGCCTCAGCTCTTTATCTCTCTTCCCTGCCAGGATCAGACACTAAGGACTTCTCATCTTGATCCCTGCCACACCTTCCCAGCCAGCCTCTCCAGTCCCAGTCTGGGCTCCATCAGCCTTCCTCCAACAACTAGCCCTATCCTGCCCTGGCTTCCTTAGCTTCCAGTAGCCTTCGAGATAAAGTTCACACTCCCTAATTTAGCACAGAAGGCCTGGCTCCCCTCCAGCCACTCTCTGCCAGGCTCCCTGCCTTCCAGCCACATAGAGCCACTTGCAGTTCCTAAATATGCACACCACTCCACACCTCTATGCCTCCTCCGGTGCTATTCTCAGGCTGCATTTCCACTTCTTTTCCAAGCTTGCTTAAGACAGAATCCTGAGTGGAAGCCCCCAAGGCTTACAAGTCTACAGTGGCAGGACTGGGAGTCAAGACGTGTGTCATGCCCTTGCCGGTGTGGCTCGGTTGGTTGAGCATTGTCCCATGCACTGAAAGGTCTTTGGTTCCATCCCTGGTCAGAGCACATACCCAGGTTGCAGGTTCCATCCACACGGGGTATGGGACGCAACTGGTCAATGTTTCTTGCTCACTTCAGTGTTTCTCTATCTCTCCCCCCTCTCCCTTCCGATCTCTCTCAAAAATCAATAAAAACATATTTTTTAAAAAATACACGTCTCCAGATAACTATCGGCTGGCCCAACCATGGAGAAGGGGCCACTTAGCCCAAGAGTGAACTCGCTGTCTCCAATCCAGCAAACAAAATCACAGCTTTCCTCTTTGCTTAGTATTAAAATATTTTTTCTCATGTTTTTAAAAATCTTTTCAATTTCTTTATATAAAAATTGCACATATAAGGTAGTTAAAAATACATGAGTAAACTGGAGAGGGGAAAAAAAAACTTAAGCGCTACTTTCTCCAGGCAGCCTTCCCTGATCACCCTGCCATAGCTGCTGCTAAGATGCCCAGGCCCCTGATTCCCATCACACCACAGTAATTGGATGATCTGGCCTGACTTCCCCAAGGTTGTGAGGTCCTCGAGGGCAGGGTTGATATTTCACCTGACTTTGGTTCTTTATTCCCCAAGCACAGTCAGATAGGAGNCGGGCTCACCCAGTTACGGAGCCTGGCAAGTCCGTGTCTGAAGGGTGGGCTGGCAGGCGGGGCACCCAGGAGGGCTGACGTTGCAGTTCCCTCCAAGGCCAGTCTGCCAGCAGAGCTCCGGAGGTGAGGCCCTTGCTCTCTTCACCTGATTTGATGAGGCCCACCCACGTTATGGACGGCAATTTCCTTAACTTCTGTTTCTTGGAGGCCCTGGGTCAGCTGGGCTGGGGAACAGGGATTCTGGGAAGATCAGAGGGTTGGGGCCAAGGATCATAATGCACATGAGCCTTGATTCAACAGTGACTGCTGGGTTGGGTCACTCCTGGGCTTAAGCTCCAGGTCGGGGAAGAGCCACAGGTCTGTGCCCTTGGAGAGGTTCAGTGCCACCCAGCCCAGGAAGACATGGCAGCCAGCATTGCAGACACCCCCTCTGTCCCTACTGAACCTCCCCCGGCTGACCCGGGACCATGAGGAAGCCCTTTCCTAGCGGGCCCGGCTCTGCCTGGGACCCTGCCTGGCGCTGCAACCTCAGCGGCCATCCCATGGGGCCGTGACCCTGGGAAGCCTCAGGCCTTTCCCTCCGGGTCCTGACTCTCCTCTGTCTGGTCCGTGTTGGCCCCTCCCCTGAGAGGTCATAGTGATGTGACGCGATGTGAGGGACGGTCACAGTGCCTGTGTTCTGCGCCATAAATGGACCCAGCGACGCCCATCAGGGTCCTGACGGGAATCCAGCCACCAGCCCAGGCCCATCTGGTTCTTCCCAGACGCAACCTTCCCAGAAGCCCCACTCACCAATGTTGGGACAATATAACCATTTCTTTGGTGCGTTTGCTTCTGTAGACTTAGGAACTTTGCATTTAGAAATAACTGGAGCCAGCTGGGAGTGCGGGGAAGTGCGGGGATCACAGCCCATGGTCACAGGACACAGAGGGGTCCAGAGGGAAGGGCATTGTGCCTGAGCTGGGTGCCACCTGCCCTGAAGGGCATGAGGGGGGCAGGCTGAGTGTCTGTCCTCCCAGGGCGCACTCAGCTCCCTGTGCACTCCCAGTAACAACATGACGGTGTCAGAGTTTCATGGTTTCCCTTTTATAAGTGAGAAACTGAAGTGTTTTGCATACGAAAATGTGTGGTTTGTGGGTAGTCAACTTGTGAGGACCAGATGACAAGCCAATATGTTTTCCTGCCTGTATTATCTATGTTTCTATGTATTTAAGTATCTATCATTGTATCTCTCTAAGTATCTATGTACCTATCTACGTAACTATATATCTAAGTGTCTATATATTTATGTAACTTTCTATGTATCTAAGCATCTATTCAACTCTCTGTATTTAAATAATTATGTAATTATCTATGTATCTATCTATGTACCTCAGTATCTGTTTATATATCTGTGTAACTATCTCTATACCCACCTATGCATCTATGTATTTATCTATGTAACTACCAATTTGTGTATCTATGAAACAATTTATATATCTATGTATCTGAGTATCTATCTGCCATCTATCATCTACCTATCAATAATCTATGTCTGTCTATCTCTGATTAATTAATACTATGTGGGTTTTATCTGGACCTGGGTTCATCCTGGTTATGGAATATCTCACTAGAAACACCTTCTGGAAACCAAGGCCTCTCTGGACCCAAAAAGGGGAAGCTAGAGTGGAGCCTGGGAGCAGTTCACCACCCTTCCTGCAACCACAGAAATGAGCCCATGACTTGGCCCTTGCACACTTCCTGACAGGCAGGGCCCCGTCCTCCCCCCCATAGGACAAGGCAGTCGGCGAGAGAGGCTGGCCATGAGCCCCCGTCCCACCGCCCTGCTGGGCCTCGGTGAGTCCTGGAATGAATGGAGGGACCGCATCCCAGGGACGGGCAGGGTGGTGGCTTGGGGAGGCGCCTGTATCCCTGCTCAGTCCCGACTCCAGTCCAGGAGACTCATGGTCCCTCCTGGGCTCTGTCCCCTCAGCTCTGGCCCCATCCTAAGTCTCACCACGGAAGGTTCGGGCCTAGAAGCAGGTCCCTGGGCGTGGGGACAGGTGCAGACTGAGCACCTGATTGGAAGAGGGGGCTGGGGATCTGCCTGGAAGAAGGGTTGTGCTCGGAGGCAATGCTGAGGAGGGTGGTTGGGAAACTTTCCGAGACGGAGCCCGCTGCCTCCATGAAGGCCCCCTGATTGCAGCCCCGGGAGAAGCGGGCGCAGGGCGTTTTGCTCACTAGACCTTCTCTTGCAGTGTTCTGTCTGGGCCAGATGATCCACAGGCACGAGGGTGAGTCTGCCTTTTCATTTGGTTTTGCACAATTTAGTTTTATTTTCAGGCACAATGTTCCTCTTCCCTGGAGTCCTTCGCGGTGCATCTGCAGCTAGAATGAGGCCCGGCCCCTGTGTGGGACCCGCCTGCTCTCACGCCCTCTGGCTCATTAGCGTCAGGGACCTAACCTTCCTGCCACTTTCGCAAAGGCCATTCCCCCCAGGACCAGGACCTCCTCCCAGGCTGGGGCTCCGGTCACTGGGCTGGGCTAATTCTTTCCTGGCCCCGGGGCTGGCTCAGAGCCTCCCCCTCTGACTGAGGCGGTCAGCTCTGCCTCCCTCGCCCAGACTCCCGCTCACCCCAGGGCGTCTGGGCGGTGGCTGTGGGTTTGCACAACCCCTGAGGGCCTCTGTGCTCCCTGGGCACCCCCAGCCCACCCTCAGCCCGGGAAGTCCGGGCCCCTGCGCCCCGTCTTTCTG